TTTCGAAGGTGGCGAGTTCGTCGCCCAGAACGTTAACGAGATTATTAACGCATCCGCCTGTCCTCTAAAGTCTAAAGAGTCGTCTCGTCATGAGATGATCCCGAAAGAATCCTCGCCCTTTCCAGAGGTGAAACCGCGGCAATTAAGGCGACCCCGGCTCCTTTCCAATTCGGCGATCAAGAGAATCAGTCTCGTGAAAAGCTCGTCGCCTCATCATTTAAGTGCAGTGCAGATTAAATTAAAAAGTGTTTATCATAATTAAATCTAACAGCTATGATCAGTATTATACGCGATAAAGATATGTGGAATTGTAAAATCACACATTTTTTAATAACCTAAGTAATATAGATCCCGCACTAATTATGTGGAAAACGTGGTATTAGTCAAATTGGCTGAATATTTTATAATTTTTGAGATGATAATTGAAGTCCTTATAAATGCAATTATAAAAAATAGACAGATTTTGTTGAAGGTTGCTAATCGCACTAAAAAGCATCTACAGCACTATTTCTAATTGTTTTTAATCATTCTAATTATTTTTTTAGATATACAGATTTATCTAGTTATTTTTTTATATATTAGATAATTTTTTACTTTGCGTTGATTTAAAATATATCATATTTCTTTCATTTCGTATTTTTCTCTTGTCATATTACCATTACCAATACATTTATATCAATCGACAACATTATTTTAAGATGATACGATCTTCTTTTCTCTAAATAAAAAAAACTCTAAACGGGAATGATTTTTTCATGAGCGGAATAGACCGAAATGAACGGATGGTAGACACTACCGTTCAGAGAAATGGAACGGAAGGCAGTAAATTGCACGGAAGTACATTCGGCAGATTGGATTAGCATTTTATACGCGAAAAGCAAGCAGTCGTATGTGCGCGTATGTCACCGGTCAAGAATATGTAATGTCCACTCGATGTTAGTCAGTGAAACGTGCAAATATCGCTCGTGACGCAAAACGATACCGATAGAAAATTCATAACGAGTTTTTCCCCTGTACCAGAAACGTATACATATCGAATGCAAACGTCGCAGGACAGAATCAATTTAATATTGATCAAAGAAAATTCGTAAATGAAAGCCAACTTTCTAGACATGGGACACCCTGACAACGCACGTAATCTCAAACTTGCAAAATGGACACCGTTTTTTCGTTAGAAAGAAACTTTTCTCTAGGTTACATACAAGAAATCGGAAAACGGATTCTGGCGAAACTCGCGAGCTGTTCCCAATTCTTTTGGGCAAATTGGCCGGTGTGTAAAAAGATTTTTACCGTTCACCATAAGTGCGCTTTCGTATGTCCCGGTCGAAATGAGAAAGGCGAATTTGCCCTCAAATATCTTTCTGATATCAAGCCTGCTTGTGATATTTTTCACAGAAAAAAAATGATTCTGCATTTTCTTTTTACATTATCAAAGACTGTACATTGACGATATCATTATGCGATATATCGATAAGAATTCTTATATTTTATTTCTTTATTTGCATTGTGCTTTATCTCGTCATGCTTTTCTGCATATACTTATGGTTCTTTTGTATACATTAAACTAATAACGATTTTGATGTAAGTCGATTAGTAGAAGAAAATATTTATTATTTATAATTATAGTTAAGTTACATATAATAAGTTATATATGCGTTCAAGTAAATTATTTGAACGGTAAATGTAAAAGCTATATTAAAAAAAATTGTAACGCCTACAATTAAGTACTCTTAAATAACGCTGTTACATGTCTTAATAGATATTTACATTTAAATATCTTTTAATATTTATTACTAAAGCATTTACGACCACTTTAAGCCGCCAGTGCTTTATAAGTCGAATTTACGAGAGGATTAAAAATCAAATCGCAGTACGTAACACTTAAAAAAATTTGAACTGTAACGTATAAAAAAAATTAATAAATGGAAATAATCATTAAATATCGCATCATTATTTTCATCTTAGCAATGTTAATAAAAATTATAGTTTACATAAATTATAATTATTTATTTTTCAACTATTTATATCTAACTGTATTTGAGATGTTAATCGATTCCTATTGCAAATATACTTAAATTCAAGATTGCAAAAAATTAATTTATGTTACTTGTGAGCTCAAAATCATTCTCTATTAATAATTATAGCAGTAATATTTTTTAGAGTCTCAAGACAAACCTGAAGAGAGTAGATAACTTGGTCCACGACAGGAGTCAATTTTCACGAAAGTTGCGCGAGAGTTCGGAAAGAACGCTTGCAACTTCAGCAACCGGATGGTTCCCTGACAGCGAAAAATTTCCGTCCCTCATCAGAAACTTATGTATGCGTCACGGAAAATCGATCACATAGCTGCATCCAAATTTGCTATTTTGCAGACGTAAACGAATTTCGGTATATTTCTAGTTCAATTCGACTTTATCATGAATAGCAAGTTCAAAAATATATCTTAATGTGAACCGTAAGTTGTCATAGTTTAAAATGTTAATCTATAAATATACTGTAAATAATCTGTAAATAAACTGTCACATAATCATAATGATATATAAACATACTTAGATATTATCAAACCATTCGATACATTATTTATATAAAAATATATCGTATTAAGTAGAATTATATATATATATATATATAATATTTGCATATTTTATACTTTGTCATATTCTTAATTACATTTGTATATATATTTCTAAATATTATTTATCAGATTCTTTTGAAAATAAAGAGAAGCAAACCAGTTTTGACATAATAACTGGTTTATTTCTCAATTTAATGACATTAAAAAATTAATGAAGTAAAAATCAATTATATTTCATTATATATACACACACATATATATATATATATATATATATATATATATCTTGTTTTAATAAGATTCTAATTTCAAACTAATTATGTAAATTAATATTAATTATATATACTTAATTAATTATATAAATATGAATATTAAATTTTTCAAAATTATGATAAAATCATGGGATAACTAGATATAGTTCTTTTTCACAATGATATATTAATGTATTAATTTTCGTTAATATAAAATAATTATATATATAATCGGCAATAAAAATTAAAACCAGCCTTAATTACTCATAACATACAAGCATATATTGTAAAAAAAAGTAAATTTTTGTTAACACAATTAAATAATTTATCATTTATATTACTTTGAAAGATTTAACTTCGAATTATATAATCAGTTGCGAATTAGAATCGCGTTAAAGCAAGATACATACGTATAAAGAAAATAGAATCGACTCTATTACATTATTGACAATCGGCTCGCAATGCGTTAACTTACTCCTCTGTGCAAGATTCGGTCAATTCTGTGGGTTAGTTGATGTAGTACGTGCCTCAATAAAGCTAGCCGGTTGTTTCGAATCTCGCAGCTCGATTCGTCTATAACTCATGGTCGATGGACTAGCTAGAGCGTATTCGTTTTCGTTTTTCGTACATCCGATGCAAAGAGTCTGTTATAGATCGAACTGGTTTCAAGAGATACTCTCTCTTCCACTGTCTCGCTCTTTTCTATATCGTTCATTCCATCGTTTCTTCTCTCCATTCCCCCCTCCAGTTTTTTTCTCTTTCCTTCTCTCTATTCAAAGAGGAGATAGAGGATACAAAAAGATCGGAAAACCACAGGATCAGTAAGGAGACAGAAAAGAGGAACGAAATAGAGAGGGGGAGGAAGAGGAGAAGAGGGTAGAGCAACGAACATCCAGCTCGACATTCCACGAGATCTCCTCTATCTTCTTTCGATACTTTTTATCCCTCTTTATTCCGTCTGTTTCTTATCATGCCGCTGCTCTTCGCGTCGCTCTTCACGAGGAATCTCGACTGTCGTATCGACTACCAAGCGACTACATAAGACGGATATAAAGGCGTTCCGCAGGATACGAAACTTTATTCAGGAACTTAGGGCCTCAGTAGTCTTGAAAAGACCAAAGGAACAAGGCAGAAATACCACTGTACGGTGCTCACTCGACACACGAATTGATGTAGCATTTCCTTTTTTGTTATTTTTAGAAAGTCAATAATAGAGCTTTTTTCCGAAAGCATTTTTCCGATTTTATCGAAACATCAAACATTCTTGAGAATCACGATTTACACAACATCTTGTTTGACGCTGTTTCTTTATCTGTTTAGAAATTACGAACATGCACTTTGCCATATTACATAAATTATTATAATATAGCATAATATTACAAAAGGATCTATAATATTATGAATCATTTGCGCATACAATAAACAATTCTTAATGTCATGGAATATATAATGTTAATGGCAGATCGAATCATTATCTACGATTCAGAGAAATACTTAATATAAAAGTGACAGCCAGTCTTAGAATTATGCACTGAGAAAAATGGTCTGATTCGACTAAATAGTAATAATGATTAAAAAGTGGACGAATCACACACACAGAGTTTTCTGGTTAAATCTATTAGAATTCTAGTGGAGATAATTAGAATTCTGATTGATATAATTATTCTGGTAAAAGTAAAGGCCGGTTTATAATAGCCATTACCGTAATTCCGTGGCTGTAACCGTAGAGGCCGTTACCGTCATCTATAAAGGAGCGGTTTATAATAGCCGGTACGCCGCTGTTACGGCCGCAGTAAGGATAAAACCTGAAAAATTACAATATAAACTCACTTATAATATAAATAAATATAATCCGCCATACTACCTCTCATGAGACCACTCGAGCGGGCCGGACGTGTTCGATCGTCCCGTGTGTTGTATCACGTCAATTATATTTTTGGAAAAGCGTCGCCGGCTTCGACTGTGCCTTTGCAAAATAAATTTAAATTAAACAAAAAATGGATTTGTCCGAAGTTGCAGTGTGTGGAATATTTTTATCAATTTTGGGACTAGCATACACTGTATATGCAGACGAATCATTAATTAAAAAAATTAGGAGAAAACGCCGTTGGAGTGTACGCCCAATAAATCAAAGAAGGAAAGACACAGGAGATTTTCATAATTTATTCAAAGACATGGCGACAATGGATAAAGAACAGTTTATAAAGTACACAAGAATGTCAAAGACTAATTTCCACATTATTAGGACTAATAAAACATAGATTAGTGAAGCACAGCAGACGTGAGCCTATAAGTCCGGAGCATAGACTGGTTATTACATTATTGTAAGTGATAAGATCATTTAATTTTGATAATATCTTGTATAGAATTGTATATATTAATTTCGATGTAAATAATAATGTAGAACTTATATTATTGCAGCTATTTATCACAAGGTTGCAGTATGCAGGTAGTTGCGTGGTCTTTTTTGATTGGAAAAGCTATTGCATCTATTATAATCAAGGAAACTTGTGAAGCCATATGGGATGTTCTTAATCCCATATATTGCAAACAACCAACAGTGGAAGAATGGAAAGAGAAAGCGGACGAATTTGACAAACAATGGAATCTCCCTAACTGTTGCGGTGCAATTGACGGCAAATATATTACCATTCAGGCACCAAATAAATCAGGATCTGCCTTTTTTAATTACAAGAAAACATTCAGCATCGTCCTTATGGCTATGTGTGATGCTAACTACGTGTTTACACTTGTAGACATTGGAGCGTACGGCTCGTAAAGTGATGGTGCAGTGTTCTCAGAATCAGCTTTCGGACAAGAATTGGAATCCGGTAGGATAAAATTACCGGCGAGCACACCATTACCGGACACAGATATAAATTTTCCATATTATTTTGTTGGAGATGAGGCTTTTCCTCTAAAATCATATATTCTAAGACCTTATCCGGGAAGAAATTTAAATCAAGAAAAAAGAATTTTCAATTACCGGTTATCGAGAGCAAGGAGGACAATAGAAAATTCATTTGGCATTTTAGCATCAAGGTGGAGAATCTTGCGAAATAATATCATTACCGAAGTTGGTAATGTAGAAAAGATTACCGCTGCCACAATATGTTTACATAATTTTCTGCGTATTTCTGAAAAAAATGCCCAACTAGTGTATTGCTCTTCAAATTTTGCCGACACTGTTAGAGATGATGGTTACATCATAGAAGGCTTGTTTCGACAAGAACAAATTGATAATAGCTTTCACAGGATAGGACGCATGGGTGCGAATAATCCATCAAGATCTATCATTGCTCTACGTGACAGTATGGCACATTATCTTTCGCATGAAGGGACAGTTCCTTGGCAGTGGGCGCATATTTCAAGAGGATTCAGATCATCAAGATTGGAATGACATTTATAAGATATATCGAACTTTATTAATATATATACGAGGTGTGATCAAAAAGTAAGGTGACTTTTCATTTTTATAAAAAAATATTCATTTATTCATCCAAAATTATGTTGTCCCCTTCAAAATAATCCCCCTCTGATACAATGCACTTGTGCCAGCGCTTTTTCCAGTCGTCAAAACACTTCTGAAATGCACTTTTGGGTATTGCCTTGAGCTCCTCCAGCGATGCAGCCTTAATCTCCTCAATCGTCGCAAATCTTCGTCCTTTTATTATGACAGTATTGTTTTTTTGGCCAAAAACAATACTGTCATCATGCCTCAGCCACCACACACACATTCGCTGACACACGTGTCATACCCAAAACAT